AGGGAGGAGGGAGGAGGGAGGAAGGAGGAAGGATGATGGAGGAGGGAAGAGGAGGATAAGGAGGACGTGGAGGAAGGGGAGGAGGAGGAGGTGGAGGAGGAGGAGGAGGAATACAAATAATAACAATAAGACGGGTAATACTAATCACAATACTACTCGTAATAAGATGAAGACATATCATAGTAATGGTATTAAGAATACTCAGAAGCATACTACGAATACAAGTAATAATATTAATACTGATAATGAGACTAATGCTAATTCTGCTAAGAAGAATAATACTACGACGACAAAGAAGAATAGCACGACACATAAGACTAATAGTACTAATACTCATACGAATAATAGAGAAACTAATAGTGTTACTAACAGCAACACTACTAATTCTATCAACAAGAATAAGAATACTACGTATAAAAAGAAGGCGAACACGACACCTACGCATACTACTAATACTAAGAATGCTAAGAATAATACTAGTAATACGAAGACGAAGAAGACTACTAATAAGGTTACAAATGAAAATAATGAACAGAAGAAGAATTATAATACACATACTAATAATACACATACAAATAATAATATACGCATAAGAAGAATATTAATAATAAGACGAATAATGCTAATCATAATAATACGAAGAAGAATAAGCACACTGCGCATACTACGCATAATAACAATAATAATAATACTGAACATAATAAGAATACCAAGAGGACGAACACGACTACTAATACTAATAATAGTAAGACTAAGCGTAATATGAATAATAAGACGAGGAAGACTACTAATAATACTAAGAATAAGAAAGGGAAACCGAATAATACGAATACGAAGAAAACGACAAATAATACTAAGAATAATAATAATGATGATACGAAGAAGAATATGACGAATAATGATACGAAGACGAACGATACTACTAATACTAATAATCATGAGAAGAATAATAATAGGAAGAAACAGAATAGGAGGAGGAGGAGGGAGGAGGGATGAGGGAAGAGAGGGGGAGGGAGGAGGGAGGAGGGAGGAGGAGGGAGGAGGGAGGAGGGGAGGAGGAGGGAGGGAGGGAGGGAGGGAGGGAGGGAGGGAGGAGGGAGGAGGAGGAGGAGGAGGAGGAGGAGGAGGAGGAGGATGAGGAGGAAGAGGAGGAGGAGGAGGAGGAAGAGGAGGAGGAGGAAACAGCATGAGCAGCAGCAGCAGGAGGAGGTGGAGGAGGAGGAGGAGGAGGAGAAGGATAATAATAATAATAATAATAAGAAGAAGAAAGGAATAATACAACGAATACTACGACTAATAATAATAGGAAGACTAAGACGACGAATAACACTAAGACTAATACGAATAAGAAGAAGAACACAATACTACTAAGAAGACTAATACTGATACGATGAATAAGAAGAGTAATATTAACAATAATACGCATACTAACAAGACGAAGAAGAAAATGACTCCTAAGACGACGAATACGAATACTACGACGACTAATACGAATACTAGTGAGATTAATACTAAGACGACTACTAATAATAAGAAGACGAATAATACGAATAAAATTAATAATACTGATAATAAGAATGCTAATGCTAATGGTAATAATACTACTAATGACAATATTACTAATACCAATACTAATATGAATAACTAATAATACTAATAATAATAATAAGAAAAACTACTGATACGGATACTACTAATAATACTAATACGAATAATAATATTAAGAATAATACTACTCATACGGTTAATAATGACAATACTAATATTAACAGGAATAATACTTATGCTAACGGCTTTCCCCACATCAAGATATTAACGGTTTCGTGGGCCCCATGGAGTACGACAACATCAACACGAAGGATAAGCTCATCGAGCGAGTAAGTACACACGAAAGGGCAGACGAAAGAAAGGAGGAGGGAGGACAGGTGCTCAGGAAACGAAGCCTTGTAAATAGTACGGGTTCTTGATACCCTCCTCGCTCTGGCGGGGCCCCGCGGGAAGGGGGGGGCTACGAAACTTGGTAAAGGGTAAAGAGGCATCATCATCATCATCACCAGCTTCGTCGTCGTCATCATCACCAGCATCATCGTCATCACCATCAGTATCATCATCATCGTCATCATCATCATCGTCAGCATCATCGGCATCAGCGTAACCATCATCATCAACATCATCACCCTCGTCCTTATCATCATCATCATCATCGTCAGCGCCATCGTCATCATCATCATCGTCGTCGCCACCATCATCACCATCACCATCATCATCGTCGTCGTCATCATCACCATCACCGCCCTTGGCATCATCATCGTCCGCATCATCGTGGACGTCGTGATCATCAGCAGCATCGCCGTCATCATCATCAACAGCACCAGCAACGTCAGCATCAGCAGCGGCATCGTCATCACCGGCATCTGCATCATCATCTTCGTCGTCGTCGTCGTTGTCATCATTTTCATCGTCATCATCATTACCATCATCATCGTCATCATCATCAGCATCACCATCATCATAATCACCGTTATCGCCATTGCCATCGACCACCACCATTATCGCCATCGCCATCGTCATCATGAACAGCAGCATAACCATCGTCATCACCATCATCATGATGAAGCCTTCCTCATCGCAGAACTCCCCCTCCTCCTCACCCTCCTCAGTGGGAGGAGTAGGACGTGAGATGGATAGGTAATGTTCTCCTCTCCTCCTCACCCATGTCAGTGGGAGGGGCACGAAACCATTTAAA